CGCAAAGCATTGATGACGAACAAACCACCTCCGCATAAATATACACTATATCATACTGTGGATAATCCACACTGCTATAAACTAGTACTTTGAACAATTACCACTCTTGTAATTTGACAATGGCTCCTGCTGACCGTGTGTCAACAACATTATTAATCCACGGCTACTTCGGAACGTCGTCTGTTCGTCTAATCTATCAGCGCGCCATGCCAAACCAACGCAATCGCTGTCAGACTTGTGACACAACCGCCAAGTGTGACTTGTTTATCACATACAAGTGTCAGTATTTAAATAAACCGAACATGTATGCGAGTGTCTGTCTGAAATGAAGGTGCCATGTGTTGTATTTACCACATACTGAGTGGCCACACCTAAGTTCACTTCACCCGTACCTGTCGTATACATATTATATTACAACCGATGAAAATACCCGAATAATACCAGAAGGATAAGTCATATGAAGTCCGTACACGTTCTTTACGGATACTGCGACAAACGTATCACATATTACGGTAAATGCAGATTTTAAAAATATTAGATTTTGTTTTTTCGACGTGCACCTGTATAACATTATGCCATGGATTTGTGCTTCCACGGTTACTAACTGTGGTGCATCCTTCGGGTAGTATTGTATCTAAAACACAGGTAAACACGAAAACAAACAAAATGGATGCCAGTCGGCCATTTTTAAAATTAAAAATTTATAAATATTCATATGTAACCGAGCATGAGTGATATCTAGTTTGAATGAGTCGACCTAGGCATGGCGAGAAACGGCCGATAACATGTTCAAATGCTGATTTTGAGAGTCTGAGAGACAAACATGTCCCTCAGTCGGTCAAACGTTAACGGAACGAAAAACAAATCGACGAGCTTATCTGCATGCCATTTTACTTGGTGCCAATCATGATTCAACAGAATCGGCCAGGCGTGTCAAAGTGCACGTAAATCAAATATTCTTCAGTGATACGAACCCCTGTTCATTTTTACCGTGGAGTAAACAATATATAATTTGAACTCGTAAAATATGTATATGTATCTTGTGTTACGTGTACCTGGATATCAATACCTGTTAATGCCGACTATTAATATCTAACGATTATGTACAAAGGTACTCGCCCTATGGAGTAGAGAATGAATCGTATAAGCCACCCAAAGAACCAAGCAACGAACAAATCAAACAAATTGACACAAACAAAGCACTTAATCCAAGATTCCATAGATACGGAGCGTGGACTCGTACGGATACAACATTAATGATATTGCTGATATTGCAAAATACAGTTTGGTGTTCGGATGCGGGTACGATTGGGAATTCCCTCGATGACTAAGTAGCAAGTTAACTACCATTAGATTATAAGCATTATATTCCTAGTACGATCGATTTAGAATCGGCTACACGATCTAAATATCGTATGCAATCTATTAGTTCACATAAAATTTGTAACCCTGATCGTGTCTCTGTAAAAAAAAAATATTTTTAGTCGCAATAATATTTGATTTCTAGATAATAAATTATTAGCTAGTTCTTTTTGTTTATTACATAGCAAACAGTTTATACTAGTTATAACCATAATAACCGGAAGTGACACGAATCAGAACGATATGTGGCATTCATCGCGTTTGACCAGGCGATGTAACAGATACCAGGAGTCTTGATAATTACGAAAAATAACTACATAGATGAAGATTCCTGGAGATATTAGATCACTCAGAATGTCGTTGAATCACCGCGTGACGTCCGATTCATACATCACCAAAAAAGGGTAAACCTGCTCGTATATCTTTTTATTACAGTAGCATGTGGTGGGTCCAAAACCCATGCCTTCTTGTGTTTGTGAGTGTTCAATAATTCTTCGTATTCAGTATTCCAGCGGAATTTTAACTTTATAATATCGTCTGTACCGGTTAGTGGTAGACGGGCCACTATTTCTGGTGGCTGGCTAGCCCCCCCCCCCCCCCCCCGTCTACGAATTGCTAATACACGGTTATAAGACGGAACAAAAAACAAATCGACGAGCTTATCTGCATGCCATTTTACTTGGTGCCAATCATGATTCAACAGAATCGGCTAGGCATGTCAAGGTGCACGTAAATCAAATATTCTTCAGTGATATGAACCCCTGTTCATTTTTACCGTGGAGTAAACAATGGTGAGACATATATATGTAAAATATGTACATGTACCTTGTGTTACGTACTACCTGGATATCAATACCTGTCAAAACCGACTATTAATATCTAACGATTATGTACAAAGGTGCTCGCCCTATGGAGTAGAGAATGAATCGTATAATCGTGTTTAATTCGACAAGCCACCCAAAGAACCAAGCAACGAACAAATCAAACAAATTGACACAAACAAAGCACTTAAGCCAAGATTCCATAGATACGGAGCGTGGACTCGTACGGATACAACATTAATGATATTGCTGATATTGCGAAATACAGTTTGGTGTTCGGATGCGGGTACGATTGGGAATTCCCTCGATGACTAAGTAGCAAGTTAACTACCATTAGATTATAAGCATTATATTAGTAGTATGATCGATTTACAATCGGTTAAATCTAAATATTGTATATAATCTATTACGATCACGGTTACAAATATAATGTGAACGTATCTCTGTAAAAAATATTTTTAGTCGCAATAATAAATTATTAGCTAGTTCCTTTTGTTTATTACATAACAAACAGTTTATACTAGTTAAACCATAATAACAGTCACGTGACACGAATCAGAACGATATGTGGCATTCATCGCGTTTGACCAGGTGATGTAACAGATACCAGGAGTCTTGATAATTACGAAAAATAACTACATAGATGAAGATTCCTGTAGATATTAGATCACTTAGAAATCTTGGAATTACAACCGATTCCTACATCGCCATAAAAGGGTAAACTTGCTCGTTTCTCTTTTTATTACAGTAGCATGTGGTGGGTCCAAAACCCATGCCTTCTTTGTGTTTGTGAGTGTTCAATAATTCTTTTCGTATTCAGTATTCCAGCGGGAATTTTAACTTTATAATATCGTCTGTCCCGGTTAGTGGTAAACGGGCCACTATTTCTGGTGGCTGGCTAGCGCCCCCCCCCCCCCAAGAATCTGCTAATACACGCCGGTTATAAGACGCGACATGTTCCTCCCAGTCAATGACGTCAACCCACCCACACTTCACTTGTGAATAATCAAATGAGAATGGTGGAGTTATGTTATGGTTTAAAAGATCATAAAATAAATATCTGCACACATTTGTGTCGGGATATTCACAGACTACGTATTTGCTCGATATTATACAGGACCAGTTTGTTCACTGACACAAGTCATGGCACGGTAGACACTTAAACCACTCATTGATTGATACCTTGACCAGCAAGCACAGTCCCTCAACAGTTGAGGGACTGTGCAGCAATGTATAGTCAAGAACATAAATGCACTTGACTCCGCTATCGAAGTGTAATAAACAAATGATTTCGACCTTTTCGCCATAAGAGGGCGCAAGCCTTTAATAAGAGTATTAGAGATAGAGCAATGGGTTTGTCGTCCACACGTCGAAAAATTAATGAATGTCAAGCGGTAATAAAGTTACCAGTAAACCAAATCGCACGCACAACATAGCAGAAATGCACAAAATAAAAATATACTTTGGTATTAAGATATTGTTAGGTAAACAATCGCATAGAATCCTTTCAGAACTCTGGCTGATATATTTTGTCAACAAAAATTATTGAAGATTGATGTTTTTATGGTGGAGCGAATCTTTAAACTTTCAAGAATGAGTTCAGTGAAACAACTGACATGAGTTGTAATATAATATAAAATCAAAATTATAATAGTTACAAGGGTGGGGCTATTGTGTTTATTTTTGATGCGATTTTTTTCAAGTATAATAAAACAAGCAGCCTGTCGGCCGAGATAACTCCGCTGTTAGCAATGCACATTTCAATTAAAGAACAGAAGATATCATTAGAAAATGAACAATATGTATAGTATCAATGCAATGGGACTTGCTGTTTTCAACAAGAATTCAAAAATATTACTTTTCACCAAAAATGATCATCAAAATTAAGTAATTGAAGATATCACCACAAAATTAACATATCTGAGCGAGGTCCACATGTAGTACTCATATATGTAATATAAAAGCAATCAGACTGGAGGTTTTCAACAAGTCGAAATATCACTTTTCACCAAAAATGATCATCAAAATTAAGTAATTGAAGATATCACGAAATTAACATATCTGAGAGAGGTCCACATGTAGTACCTATATATGTAATATCAAAGCAATTAGACTTGCGGTTTTTAACAAGTCAAAAATATCACTTTTTACCAAAAATATTCACCAAAATTAGAGATTTGAAGATATCATCATGAAATGAACAAATCTAAAAGAGATCTATCATATACACCAAGTATCAAAGCATTCAGGCTTGTAGTTTTGTAGAAGTCGATAAGGTAAAACATTGACACGGAAGACGGACAATCACTCATCAAGATGATCACTCGTATGATAAGCTCCGCTTGACAAAGTCGACAGCGGAGCTAAAAAACAGTGTACAAATAAGATGACGAAATTACATATTTAGAATTATCAAGATCAAATAAATATATTCTTGTGTGTATCCAACACACTCATTCATTCGTTTTTTTACAACCTGCTTAATACATAGAAATCTGCAAATAATTATTGAAAACGTACATGATATTTTTAACACAAGATTTCACCCTTGAAACATTATTAAGTCTGATATCATAAAATAGCAGTTAATAATAATAATCACATAGTTTACATCAGAACGAATCTATCGATGAGAGTGTAGTAACTCCAGCCAACCATGTCTAGTTAAGATCTTTGGTTGTTGTTCTGACTGAGTGAATTAAAAGAATAAACTTCATACCGATCAAAGATGAGGAAAATTCTCCTTGTAGGAGGAACCCAGCACAGGAAAATTCAACTTTCACCCAATATTTACATTTATACGATGACTATGAGTGAAAAGGTTGGAAACACAAAGTTTATTGATCACCAAAACATTTATACAACATACAAGGAATCATAAATCTCTGTGATAAGAACATTAATCCAACAATAGACATTGACAGGCAGACTTCATATTTTGAAAGGATTTATTATTCACTGGGTTTTATTTTTACTTATTTCGCTTATAGCTAAGTCAATCATAGAATGTATAGTTTCCTTCGCAAAACTGAATGTAAAAAAATAGTGAGCATTCTATACAAAAACAAATCGGCTAAAATCAAACTCAGTGAATATTTCTCGTATGTTATGTGGTGGGGTTAAATGTCAGATGAAATATTGACAAAATTTTAGTGAACGTAATATAGTGTATTTAATCTCTTTCTGCAATGGCTACGAGGTGTACATCAATTTCTGGTTCAGTTAAAATCCTAGAAGAAAAATTAAAAATATTGACATTTTAGAATTCACAAAAAATGCTCAAGTTACACAAAAGAATCAATTAAACTTAGTAGTCTCTTTTTTTTCCTCTGAATAACAGCTTGTTGAGAAAAATAGCTACAGAAAACCAATATGAATCTAAATTTAATGCTTTTTTGTCAAAATAGACAATTCTTCTGCACCATGTAACAGCTACAAAGCTACAGTACCACTGTCACTCTATTAAATTTGCTCACATGTTTCTAAACCTCCAACCCTCTAAAGTCTAAAGACAGCTACATAACTGTCCCTTACCTGAATTTAGGGTTGTCCTTAGTCACTACTCCTATTTCAATTTCAGACGGTTTGAAATCAGCAGATAGTACAGTGGAAAGACATGTTATGGCAGTCTGAAAATTACAGAAAGGAACTTTGAAACTTTGTCGTACATGACAAATTGCACAAAAATATCAGTTACTCTCATCCTGTACAAAACTCCCACACACAAGAACATATCAGAAACCACAAAACTGACACACTAATTACCATAAAATCTGTATTAGAAGCCGCATCTCTAATAGAAGTCGCACATATTCTTTAAACAATTGAGAATAGATGCTCTAATAGAAGCCGCATCCCTTCTATTGCATTGTACCATTTTAATAGAAGTCGCAGCTTCTAATACAGATTTTACAGTATTACCTGTACTGTTTGTTCAAATGTCCATTCTAATTTTTTCTTGATCTTCTTTTCAAGGAAACTATTAGCTTCAGTCTGTTTCACACCCACACTGGTTGCTTTGTATCCGCAATAATAGCCTGCAGGATCAGTCTTATAAATTTGAGGTCCAAACTCGTCATCCATACCGATTAAAATCATACCTAAATGGGACAATATAAACATAAGTTATATATATATTAACCATGTTTGCTAAGATTTAAAGATCCTAGTGAAAGCAATGGGGTTTACAAAGTTGCAAATTGAGTTGCATAGTAATAAATATACTGTTAGTAATGGAAATGTACATAAAAATACAGTCAGTTGTGGGAATGTTATGTCCATAAAAATGAAATGATGCCTCTGAATGCAATAATTCGTCAAGGCACGATAGACATGTATGGTTTTAAACAAAGTTTGAATACCTAGTAATCAAGTAAAACACTGAATTATTTTATACAGTGATGTGATACATGGTCTCGGGCCGAGTCAAAAATGTTCTCAGAAAACTAGTGGAGTTTATGAATAAGGCAGAAAATATTGATCAGTGGTTCACAAACTGCAAGAATATAATTTTCATGATAACTACGGTACATACTGCAGCCTAATGGTCTCATCTCAGCATTCTGTGTATATACTTGTGAAACATCAGATATTCTTTTACACAGCATGTCAACTGGTATGTTGTAACCATATTTGTATTTCCAATTGGCAGATTCATATCTAGCACGATGTACTTGTGATTTACTGTCAGCTGTGTACGAATCATATAAAGTCAAGTTAGCAAACAAATCATGATTTACACTCATAATATGTCCCATATATAAGGTGGTATACACAATAACAGTTTATTACATTCCAGGCATTTGTCACTATGTAGTGTTCTTCATTTTTATATGCACTACCATATCAGCTAATTTGCATATTTATTTTGTATAGAAATGATTGAAGCGGCAGGGTCGTCACCTGCGCATGCGCAAGAATTGAGTCCCAAGCAATGATAACACACACTCAAAACGCAAAGGCTTGTTTGTAAACAATGACACGCTATGGCCATCTGACGCATGTGCAGGTGACGACTCCCCCACTTTAACATATCAATATTCTCAATTGTTGAAAATGTAAGCACGACATTTCAGTGGTCAAGCATGGTAAAACCATGTTGCTTAAAAGTCCTAGAGGGAACACTGCAATGAGTAGTGTTCAGTTATTTATGATTTAGATAATATAGCATAGAAAGCATACTTTTCTAAAGTCTGTGGTGAAAGCAACAAAACGCACAGTGACGACTTTGGTTGTGTAGTAAATCTCTCAAAAACGGTATTTTGAAAGACAACACATTAAAACAATAATAACTTTCCTTTTACCCATTTATAGCATGCTATAGCACTAAAATTTCTTCACCACACTATACATACTGGTACATTTAGTTTCTATGCATTATCTCACAAGCAGTATTCTCCCCAGGCCTTTCAAGCACTGTGGGTCCGCGTTGCTTAGACAAACAGCCACGTCAATTTTGTCTTGTCTTGAACAAATTTAAAACAATAACATATATGATCGAAAGGTGATCCCGCCTTTGTTAGTCATACAAAGACGATGATATAAACGGAAGTCTGCTAGAAGTTACTAAGATATAGTAGTAATAATTACGACCGATGCATGCTGGGATACATAGCGAATTCTGATTGAGGCAACAAAGATGGCGATGCAGAGTGCATGTTATTGATTTATTAATTTCATATTTTGACAACCTGCAGTATTGTAGACTTTACAAATTTAACAAATGTTTTACTGATGTCATACAAACTGACTGATTATTATGCAAAAACAATTATGCAAAATAGATGCATTATTATGCAAATTAGCCATGACTCTTGACATGAAGTCTGGGGAGAACACAGCACAAGTGACAATAACTCACCAACAAGCCCTGTCATAACACACCCAATACCATCTGTAATGTGATATAAATGAGTGACAGTGGAAGCATCCAATAATTTGTCCTAATTAAATAAACAGAAAGAAGTTGTGAAGACATATAAAAAATGAACCAAACTTAACATGAATGTTGCTGTACTACAATGTAGGTGGCCAGCCCACATGAATGAGCATAGGCATGGAGTTGAATGAAAATGATTCACTTTGAATCTGTCAAAAAAGAACACAATAAAAACATGAAATGTGAATTTACAAAAACCATGTCTAAAACAGAAACACATTCTGAGTCATAATGATTCTGCTACTTTGTTCTAGCAGAAATTTTTTTCTGAAAAAAAAAAGCCATTTGCAAATGATGCTAGATCAAAGCATTTAAGACACAAGATTCGACACTGCACTGGCAATTTCTACTCCAACAAAGAGAGTTAGTTGGATCACAGGAAATAAAATTACGATACTATTCATTGGAAACTTAAAATTGATCACATACTGGAACTTTCTTTTGCGTCACTACAACAGCTGAGTCTACTCCCCTGATTGCCACTGATGTCAGACCTCCTTGATTGATTGCTTTGAATGCATATTCTGAAGAGAAAACAAAAATATTAAATTTCAATTTTTTTTAGTAAAAATTAACTTTACACAAGTCATGTTTTCAGTTTGTTCCAGTTTGTTTTAATCCACTTGCATGGGAAACTATGGGTAATACTGCCAAATACAGTACTGTGACCCAGCTTACTTTCACCAAACACTGATGTTGTTAACAACACATATATTCTGCATGTACTGCACATTATTGCTTTTCTGGTATTTACGTACTGATGTCACTAAAAGCAGTCAGAAAAATGTTGGGAATTTTATGGTTTTAAATGAAATAAAGTGAGCAATTTATAAGAATGCAATGGTTATGTGTCCCAGAAGCCACAGGAATTATTATTAATTTTTACATTTTACTATCAACACAACATTCCCTTCATTTTTTATAAATGTTTATCACTTTCAATGGCAATTAAATCCAACCAGCCAATCAATGAGTACAGCATGCAATGACATCACTTGAAGATGCTCTATTGTTATTCCATCAGCTACTAGAACCCTCTTGTTTCAATTTGAATTGTGAAATTTATAAAAGAATAGGTTATGTCTACAGTAAAGGAAATACCGGATCGTTAAAATGAACCATCCATCAAATTCTGGTGGCACATTTTTTTTAAGCAGAGTAGATATGAAATATCAGAAAAAAATAATAATAAAGACGCTGATAAAGTGATTGTGGGACAGACTAATTAGTAATAGATGGACGTTGGTATAATATTATTTTCCATTTGTGCTTTCCGCACATGGGTGTCAAAAAACGTGTTACAAAGAATGCTTGGAGTATTGTATATTATACAATGTACATACATTTGTGAAATCATTTTAGTAGCTTTTTTTATGTGGTATCAAATTAGGTGCTGGACAACTGGACCCCCATAATAACTATGACTTATTTAAATTCAGGATTTTAAAGCCGCAGGTCTAATTCGAGGTCGAGATGTTTAGAAAATCATCAAATGATGAAGATACCAATTAATTTACTAGTTCGCCATATTATCAACAGTTGATCTTGTGAAGCTTTCATGAATGTTCTCAGCAGCATAATTCCCATTTCAGGTCGACATTGATCTGTAATCCAGCCTACATTTGTATTATATAACTCACTTGTTTGCACGACATATACGATATACAACAGTAAGTTTGAACATAGACCTATGGTTTGAACAACCATGATGCAGCAGAAACCTTGTGATCCGGCCATTTACGAGTTGGCGGTGAGCTCACAGTGTTTACTACTGCAATTTAACGTACACACATACACAGATGAACTTACCAACTTGGTATAACCTTCCCTCTGGCGAAAATATAGTTATGTGTCGATCAAATCCAGCACTGCTGCCACGGGACATGTTGCAAAATTCGGGTAGTCCAGCGATTTCGTCTTCTGCAGTGAATAGCGTATGTTGGTGGAACTTTCTTTACTCAACACACAACTCTCAAGACAAAGATTATTGGGAAAGGTTTGCTAAGAATTGTATAATTGTTAATGTTGATATCTAGATTGTCAATTTCTACACCGACGAGTGAATATGAGTGATCATGTACTCAAGAAAATGATTAAATACAATTTTAATTACACCAAATGACAGAATTCAGCCATATTGTTTAGCACCACCAGCGGCAGAAAACTAATTTCTTTTTACTTTTTACACCGGTTTAGAAGGGAATATCCTTCCTCGAGCAATTAGATATTATTTAAATTTCACATATCTACCAAATACATTCAGTTCGGCGAACAAATAAAATATTATCCAAATCAATCAACGCTTTGAATACGAATACAATTGGTTTTTTAACTGTCCGGCCATAAACATTACGTGAACTACATTTGTCTACGCGAATGTGCACAGCACCCCGGAAGTGGTGTTTGCCAATAAATGCCAACCTGTATGACCGTGCCTTCACTGCGCTTTCGTTGAAAGGTAGTCCTACTATATGTTTAGTAAGTGGACTCTACTAGTACTAGGGATAATTTGTTCCAGTTAAAGGTCCGGTGATTGTGATTTGTTTCTTTTGTCTAATGGCAGCGGTTAGAGTTGTGTGGCTTAGGTAAGTACGTGTTTATAAAAATCACCAAGACAAACAACCGGCTCTACTTGTAGACTGTATATAATTTTATAATAATGTTATATATTTTGACGTGGCAGTGTCATTTATAATCGTTAATGTTTGTCTCATTTCTGGCATTTAAAGGAGTTTGTGGGGCTGCTTTTTCTTGTTTAGAGCATTTGTTTGGGCGTGTGACATTAGTATTTTGCAATATGTTACATTTTTGTAGTAAACATGACAAAAAAAAATCGCTTTCCAAACTTTTGCTAAGTGCTGCTGTTAAAGTAACATTTGGACAGTGAAAGTGTTTATTATATGTTCGCTTGTGGCATTTGATGACCCGGTATACCAGTATTGTCTCTATACCATGATCTTGGCAGAAAGTGTTATAAATAATGTTTTACAGTTATAAATGATGGAAATAGAAATACAGTAGTTAAAATTACAACTACTGAGTCCAGTTATGCTATTTCTCCTACAAGTACAGGTACTACAAAATGATATATGTGGAACGTGGAGGGTGAGAAAACCAGACAGATTCAGTACACATTACTGATATCAAAGACTAATATTTAGTTCCACTGACTGTGAAAAAGTTTGAGCGCCACAAGTGTCATACTGCTCCAAGGTTCATTATTATCAACATGTATACAACATATTGAGATGTATTACCCCGGTATAAGTGTACATGAAATTTGAATCCATGCTGATGACACTTTTTAGTCAAGTACATAATTTGAAATATTAAATTGTGGTATTAGATTCAACTGCTGCATGTAATTAACAAGTCACATGGATTATAAGCTTGTAACATTTGTTGAATTCAAACTTGTATGAATGATTTATGAAAACTGGTTAACTAATTTCATGATTTACTCATTTGCAGGGCCATACTTGGTGGCCTTCTGCTGTCGAGTGTAGTTTCTGGTGAAAATGCTGCTCAAGAAATCAGTAAGCAAAGCACACAAGAAGGGGGACTTTCTGACTATTGGGTGTTTCGTCTTTTCCTCAATTTGGCCGGATATGCGTCAATAATTATCCCAGCCGCACTGGTGATAAAATACATCAAGAACTCAAATATTTTGGAGAAAGGAGGTGAGTGAATATTTGCAAAATATGTTCTGAAGGTGACAACAAAAATCTGTTGTTTTTTGTATTTTTGATACATTATTTGCATACCATGGATGGTTCAAGTTGAAATAGATTTGAACTGAAAGTGTCCTGTATGTGTCCCATGCATGATCACCATTACACATCTCACTATTGTCATACACATTCTGATTTGCCAGCAGCTGTCATTGATGTCTTTATTGTAAATTTAACATTATTAAAATATATACACTCCCATTGATAATTGTCTGACAAAGTACAGTGGTGTCAGCTTGTCAGCTCCAATGCCGGATACAACAGCTGTTGAAATTGTATGAAATACCATAAATGTCAAAAATTGCCACATCATTTGATTATATCAAGTAACTGCTTTTGTAACTGATGGAGTACACTTTAGATACTTAATTTAAAAAAATGCTTAATATATATATACCGGTGTGTATGTGTATATATATATATATATATATATATATATATATATATATATATATATATATATATATATATATATATATTCAGTTGATTTGTCATACCATGTGGCTGACTATGAAGATTTGTAATATTCAGTTATGTATACAGTGACAAATGTGGAAAAGGAAATAAACTATTTTTTTTCCAATCTTTAATTGCTCCTACACTCTAATATTTCAATTGATTTAAAGCTATTTATTTGCCTTATCTTGTGTCTTCTCTACATCATAAACTGATCCCGTCTTACAACAGTGCTTACGATACTATTCATGGATTTTAAAAAGTTGGTTTATAATCAAACAAATTATAAATTTGTTCTTGCATATATCACAGGTCTGGGTCATGGAATTATTTACACAATGACAAAACGTTGTGTCTATGGTGATGATGAAGAAAAGACAAGTCTTGAAGAAGGTCCTAATATTATTGTACCCCCAAAGGTGAATAATGAATCAGAGCTTAATGAATCAGAGCGTGACAAACAATGGGTAAATTCTAATCTTCCTAAAACAAAGTGGGTGATTTTTATTGCTGTAGAATTTTTTTTCCCGGCCTTTTGTTCAAATTGAAACCTACAAGGTTTTGATTGCAGCTTGAGCAAAGCCGAGAAAAAAATTATTTGACACCTATTGTTATTGAAGATAAGTGCAGCTATTCATATATCTGTGTCACCTTGTCAACACATTGTCAAAATCATGTTCTTCTCTAAAACCATAAGCCTGATTGTCTGATCTGTTTTTGCATGGATCATAGTACATTAAGCTCATGTAATTCTGTGTTCGGTTTATTCCTTTTCCAATTCAATGTCATTGTGACACATTATATTCAATATGGGTCCCATGCAACATGTGTAATGCCGTATGGCAACCATAATCTTTTAAATAATGCATGCTTGCTTGTACATGGAATGATTTGATATTTGTTATGATACATGAAATTTAATTTTAATTTGCCATTGTAATGTTTGCATTAATATTTATCTTGTAATCACTCATCTTGCATGTTTCAATGTGTGTTCTAAATGAGCATAATTTGTATGTACTCCTGTCAGAAGTTTAATCTTATATTTTGCAGACAAAAGGTAAGCGAGCTTTGGTCCTTGTGATATGTGTCGCTGGTCTTCAAGGTTCTTACCTCACATGGGGAGTTCTGCAGGAACGAATAATGGCTCATGATTATGGTACAGAAGAAAACTCTGCTAGATTCAAAAATTCACAGTTCCTGGTGTTCATGAACAGGATCTCTGCACTGATCACTGCTGGAATTGCCATGTATCTGTTAAAACAACCACGTCACTTAGCACCTATGTATAAATACTCTTACTCATCGCTGTCAAATATCCTCAGTAGTTGGTGTCAATACGAAGCTTTGAAATATGTAAGCTTCCCGACACAAGTCATAGCTAAAGCTTCAAAGATTATACCAGTGATGCTGATGGGAAAAGTGATATCCCGAAAATCATATGAATATTACGAGTACTTAACTGCTGTTATGATTTCCGTTGGCGTGGCTTTATTTTTGCTTTCACAAGGAGAAGAAGGTTCCGGATCCACAGTGACAACAGTATCTGGCGTCATCATATTAGTTGGGTACATGACTTTTGACAGTTTTACCTCCAATTGGCAATCAGAGATTTTCAAGCGTTACAAAGTATCTAGTATTCAGATGATGTTTGGAGTTAATTTATTTTCTGTTATATTCACTAGTGGTTCTTTACTGGAGCAAGGTGGTTTCTTTGAAGCCCTGTGGTTTATGACTCGGTATAGTTTATTCACTTTCCACGTTAGTCTGTTATCTTTATGCTCTGCCACTGGTCAGTTATTTATTTTTTACACTATAGGGGAGTTTGGTGCTGTAATATTTACCATAATTATGACAACGAGGCAAGCTTTAGCTATTCTGCTCTCTTGCATTATATTTAGTCATCCAGTCACATTGATTGGTATGTCTGGTGTCGGTGTGGTTTTTATGGCCCTCCTACTTAGAATTTATGCCTCTTCCAAGGCCAAAAATAAGAAAGTTCCTTCACCAGCAACAAAAATGACAGATGTGGTGACGAGTAAATCTTAAGTTAAAAGCAATAAGATGTATTTTTTTTCTCTGTATAAAGGTGAAACTTATTTATTTTCAACATCCTAAATATTTCACATTTCTTGGTCAGTACAAATGCTTTTGTATTTTTTAAACGAGATCCGTCAAATGTAATAAAAAAAAAAAAATGTACAGTTATCATTGATACTGCCATTTGAACACTCTGCCCCAGAACCACCTCACTTGTGGTAGTGGTTTTATATTCAATTTGATTAAAATAAGATCTTTGTGAGATTATTTCTTTCCCTTTTTCGTTATTTTTGTCGTGAAATGAACAGTGAATGCCAAAAATAAAAAGAGAAAAATAACCCTGCTAAGTTGTTATTTTGATCAGATTGTGGTTGTCTGTGTTTTGAATTTGCATGCAAAGATGAATAAAATCCTAAACTGTTTTTAACTCCAGCTGACAAATAAGAATTGTTTTTGGTTCAATCTAACTATCGATAATTCAGATCTGTGATCGTTGTAGACAATGTTGTACCACACTGACTGAATGTCCTTAATCGTTCAAATCTGACATTCATAATAGATTCCCAAGTACAGTTTTCTAGGGATGTACGAGATACCTTGGCCAACCTGCATGCATTAAATTAAATCAAATAGTTGGGTCTAAACTTCCCCCTCGCCATTTCCTACAAATTTTGTTACGTTGTACTTGGCATTCATGTACTCAATTTCATCTGTATCTCGTATACAACAAGGTTGTCGTGCAACACTTGTAATTGTGCCAAAAGTTAAAATGAAAGACTGCAAAATATATATATATATACTAGTATATAGTATTCGCACAATGTTATTGCATATCCATTGTTATGCATCATGTACCCATGTACTACAATCTTCCTTTAATGTAATTTTTGGTGCTGGGAGGACCCACCACTAAAGTCTAGCAATGTTTATAAAATACTACACCCACACAAACAATTTTCATTTAATATGTGGGAATTCTGTATTTATTTTTTAACTTTGTAAATTGTAAAACTAGTAAATAAATTGTGAACATGTTTATTTTGGGGTTATTTTATTATTGTATTGATGTCTAGTTGTTATACAGCCAAATAAATTATTAGGACCTATTGTTTATCAGATTTGTCTTTGATTATGTGTCGTTCCACATTTGTGACCATATCAAAGATGGCTTCAACAAATATGGTGCTCCCTAAGCTGTTGTACATTTGCAAGTGGGGATTCTAGGTGGATCAGACCATGTAGTTGAGCATTGTTTGGGTATATTTAACTGATGGAT